AAGCTAAGTTATTTATTTAACAAATTTTAATTTATTTCACTCATTTTCCTCATTTTTTGATTTATTTTACTCATTTTTTTATTTATTTCAACCATTTATTTATTTATTTAATTTTGGCTAAAACGGCTCTCCATACATGAGGACCTTTGAAATAAAAACTTAAATTTTAAATAAAAGTTCTCACATCTCCTTCCTCCTCCTCACGACCCTGACCCACAGACCCCTCCCCGACAAGAGATATTTCAGCAGCACGTCAGCAAAAGTCACGCTTGGGTACTCGTGCAGGGCGCGCCCACCCTTGCCAGTGTGGATTAAAAGTTCACTTTTTAAAGTCCGTAATTCTCACACGCGTGCAGGGCTGGATGTGAGGGGGTGAGAAGACGGTCAGCCGCAGATATCAGAGCAGGCAGGAGGGCGAGGATGGGGGAGAAGAGCGGTGAACTTATTTCTAACTTTATCTCACTTATTTAATTTTTTAAATTGTTTTATCATCCTGCAGGCTCTGAGAGAAAATTAATTTGAAGCAGAGTTTTTGAAAAAAAAAAATCCTTAGATTGCTCTAAACATCTGTAAACCTGAAAAATGAGGGAAAATCTCTCAATTACAGACATTCTTTTCACGTGAGCAGTTGTCAATCTGCACCTGTCATCCTCCAGATGCACAATGAAGCATGTGTCTGAGCCAATTGCTTTTTGTGACATTGATCAGCTGACTGATTTAAACACACCTTAACATTCATGAGTACTTTGCATTGACTGTTTTATTGTTGACTGTGGGCGTGTAGAGCAGTGATTCCCAACCAGGGGTACATGTACCCCTTGGAGTACGTGAGCATATTAAGGGGTACATGGAAAAATTTCTCAATGTGTAAAAAATAAATGAATATAGGACTGAGATATGTAGGGCCCTATGCAGGGTTCGTACAGTTTAAAGCAAGTTAAATTTAAGACTTTTTAAGACTTTGTAATGCCAAGTGAAATTAAATTTAAGACCAATTTCATAATAAACACAAATGACAAAAAATAAAAATAAAAACTGTGGCAGAAACTCATGAGTATTTTTGGTTGAAGTATTCAAATATTGCTAATAGACCATTTGTTTTTATCCATATCTAACTATAGCAGAAACATTCTTAGAAGTCCCAAAATTTGGAGTTTTAGGACCCACAGTGGGGTCTTAACCTCAATTTGCTGTACATGAAACCTTAAAGTGCCTGTGACATCTATTTTTTATAAGAAAAGTGAATGCATTTTTGGAAAAACAACATTAACATATTACAAAACAAATTTCACATTTCTTAGATGAGCAGTTGAGATGTTTGTATGTGAAATAACAGGAAGTGATGTCAAAGGGGAATGTCTGCATGTGAATATTTAAAAAAATACATTTTACCAATTATTTTAATATTTGAAACTAATTACAATCATCCTATTTACAATGTGTTAAAAATTTTAAGACTTCTGAAAGATTGATTTAAGACATTTTAAGGCTAATTAAGGCCTTATTTTTGGATTGATGAAATCAATGCCTTTTAAGACTTTTTAAGGAACCCTGCCTATGGGAATTAACACAAAATGGAATCCTGTATGAAATGCAGAATCTCACAGAATTGGCTCATTTGGGGTATTTGATGTATTTTMGATGCTGCTGTTTTCTGCACAGGTCTGCCATTACCTGCTATTTATTTAATAAATTATTCACTTTCAAGCCAACATTTTTATCTTTGTTTAGTTTGAGTTGAAAAGAATAAAATGCCTGAGAATTAAATGTTCTAGGGGGTTAAATATTTTTTTATTTAATAATCAGTTGTACAACAGTACATTATGGTTTTGGAGAATAGTAATTACGTTTGACTGAGGGGGCACTAGTGGTATGACAAAATGGCTCAGCGGGTACACAAGTCTAAAAAGGTTGAGAACCACTGGTGTAGAGGACAGAACCTGAGGCGGGACCTTGTGTGCAAACTCTGAGGTGTGGCTGTGATCTATAAAGGAAAGGTGCGCAGAGACATGCTTATGCATGGTTTTATAAATCTGAATATTTTTTGGCGTACGCCATTTTCGCGTTTTGGCCATATGTTCACTTTTAGTGTGGTTTCCACACAAWCCTTTATAATTCTGACCCCAAAGCTTTAAAAGTCCTTTTTACCATTTTGATAAATATAAATTTAAAACGTAAGTTGTTCCACACTGTGTGCTCAACATTTACAGAAGACCTTAAAGATGGCAGTAACTCTGAATTTAAAGTCAAGATAAAACTGTAATGGTTAGGTTTTTCTGAACGAAAGCAAAATGCTCTGTTCATTATCAATATAACTAAACAGTATTTTAAAATAAACTATCTTTTCCAGCTCTAAAAAGGGTGGTTTTCTCGCTTTTACTTCAACGCCATTGTTGTATGTGGATGCGTTCATTGCAGCTCTTTAGCAAATATTTTTGTTTACTTCATACAAAATACAGCTGTTAAAAGTCAAAGCACAATTCCTCATTGATTACATTTTGATGTATTTTTTTCTATTGGTTTTTCCAAAGCTGTGGAAGAAGTTACAAATTAAAAATTGTGACAAAAGTGGAAGAATGATGGGCGAGTAGTAATATGGATGCTTTATGCCTCAATTACTGTTAGACTTCTTAGTATTTTATTGTGATCAAATGGTTTTGGCAGACTTACCTGTGCTCTGGGCAGCTCTAACCAGCCCTTTTCTCAGGATGTCTTTCACCCATGGCTTAATCTTCTCGTGACCTTCTCCTCCTACCACTGACACCACCAGGTTGGGTGTTGGCAGTTCCCAGAGAACTGTCATCAGATTGAAGACAGCACCTGGTGGTGTATCACATGAAAGCCGCAGAAACTAGACAGGCCAGAGATAATAGGTGATGCATTCAATTTCTTAATAATAATATATGAAAAATACAGTAAAAAACATACCCACATAATTTCCATTTTAAAGTTTCATACATTTCCYGATTTTCTCTTATCAAACCATATGTAAATTTATTGTAAAATGGGGTGTCCTTATACAACTTTTTCACTTTCACGTAAGTTATTTATGCTGGATCTAAGCGTTGCAAGAGAGAAATCCTGAGCGGACTTCTAGAATGGACTACTTGTGTCAGAGTGCTTGTATAGGTGATTTTAGATGCAGGTTGAAATAATCCAATATTTATTTTTTGGTTAATATTCAATCAAAATTTGAAATTGATATCAGATTGGGATGCCACTATTGTAAAGTTAAGCACAGTTTTGCTGTTTTTAATTATCTGTATGCTTGGATACAACTACTGAATGTGGGTGTTTCATCCATCCATCCATCCATCCATCCATCCATCCATCCATCCATCCATCCATCCATCCATCCATCCATCCATCCATCCATCCATCTTCTACCTTTGGATCATGGGGACAACAGGTCAAGAAGAGAAACATTCAACCCTATCCTGATCATGCAGAAGTGGCAAAAAATGGATGGATGGCAAGATAGATAATACAAAACAAACAAACAAACAAACAAACAAACAAACAAACAAACAAACAAAC